GGCAAAACTAGAGAATCTACGCCATTTCGCTGCATACAACTTTCTAGTGGATGGCCTTAATGCAGAGTCGAGAATATACTGCAGATCTGGATGTAAGGTTTGTGAGGCAGAGGTAGTAGAGACTGCAGGTGGCGCCGACACCTGTGCAGCACGTACAGTTATCAGATTCGCCAGGCAATTAGTTTGAGCGACAACAGGTCTGGGTGTCGGATTGTGCCTTCCTTCTAGGTAATGAGATAAGGAAGAAAAGGGAGTTGAAGAAAATCCTCCCGAGAGATACGAAGGAGAGTTGAGAACCATGGCTGGGTTAACAGTAGCCCTGTGGCCCCTTCATGAATAATCTTCGCCAAACACTCTCATGATGAGGGGAATCAGTGGGAAAGCGTAAAAGGTCATGTCGTTCCAGGGAATCATGAAAGTGTCCCCGGACAACCCGTCCTATCCCCGCTCTGGAGCAATAGTTCACGCACACCCTGTTCTGTCGGGTGGCAAACAAGTCTATGTCTGGTGGACCCCAGAGGTGAAACAGTCTGTTGCGAATCTGACGGTCCACTTCCCATTCGTGTGACCGTGACATATGTCTGCTCGAGAGATCTGCTTCTACATTGTCCTTGCCCACAAGATGTACTGCTAAAAGAGTGATACCTCTCGGTATGCACCAGTCCCAAATTTGCATCAATAGGCGGGCTAGTTTTGGGGACCGAGTTCCCCCTTGTTTGTTCAAATAAAAGACCGTAGCTATATTGTCCGAAGTTACCTGGACAACCTGGTGAAGAAGTACATCCTCGAATGACTGCAGGGCTTTGAAAACAGCAAGAAGTTCCAGGAAGTTGATGTGGTTCCTGGAATCCCGGTGACTCCAAACCCCTTGGGTGCGGAGGTCGGAGCAAATGACTCCCCATCCCAGAAGAGACGCGTCGGTACCGAGAGTCACTGTAGGGTACCAAGGTCAAAATGGGATGCCAACATTTAAATTGGCTGGTTCTGTCCGCCATAATAGGGACTGTAGAACGTAGGATGGGAGCCGAATCCATTTGGTAGGTCGATCTCTCTGTGGTTGGAACATCCCGTTGAAGAATAACTGAAGAGGACATAGTCAGAGTTTGGCATGCGGAACCACGGCAATGGATGCTGCCATGCGTCCCAACAGGCTTTGAATAGATCGGGCAGGAACAGTCCCTTCTCGTCGAATCCGAGATGCGCCGAGCGATAGCATGTTGTCCATCTTGAGGAAGAAAGACTCTTGTCACCGTAGAATCCAGCCAGGTTCCGATAAAGTTGATCGTCTGTGTAGGGAGAAGAGAAGACTTCTGTTGGTTAATGCATAGTCCAAGGTCTTGTAACAGAGCACAAGTAGCATCAACAGCAGAAGAAAATCCTTCTTTAGTCTTGGAAACCAACAACCAATCATCAAGATACAGGTATATCCGAATTCCACGTAGTCGAAGGTGTGCGCAGACAGGGGCCATACACTTCGTAAAAACTCTTGGTGCAGTGGCTAATCCAAATGGTAACACCTTGAATTCATAGATTTCAGAAGCTACTGCAAAACGAAGGAAGCACCTATGACGTGGATGTATTGAAATATGAAAATAGGCATCCTTCAAATCCAGCGACGCGGACCAATCCCCTCTCCCCAGCAACGGAAGGATATTTTGGAGCGTGGTCATCCACAACTTCTTTGGTGTTATGAATCTATTGAGACCTCTCAAGTCCAATGTCGGTCGGAGACCCCCATCTCGTTTCGGGACCGTAAAATATCTGGAATAGAATCCGTGGAGTCCTTCCGATAAAGATAAGCAACGAACAGCTCCTTTAGCAAGGAGTTGGCGAATTTCGTCCAACAGTACCAACGAGGTCGGTGTAAACCGGATAGGATTCAGTGATGGAACAACGTCGAATTCAATTCTATATCCGTGCTGGATGATGGATAACACCCACCCGTCAGATGTAATGGACTCCCAAGTGGGGAGCCGACTTTTCAGCGGGTCTCCAAATGAGAGGGGGGAGGGTGAAATTGGGAGGAGAGGAAAGGCTCGCTCGCCCCATCAGCGCTGATGCCTATCCCTGTCAAAGCGGTGGCAGCCTTGCTGGAAGTGCTGGGATGGTTGCTGTCTGCGGCATTGTTGGCGTTGGTGTGGTTGTTGTTGCCGAGGTTGGTATTGTTGGCGGTATTGCGGACGGGACCATGACCACTTACAGCGAGGCTGGGATTGCAGTTCCATATGACGGACCATCATTCTGGATTCGTGGATCTTTTTAAATTTGCTATCCGTCTTCACATTGAAGAGACCGGATCCATCGAACAGCATCTCCTCAATTCTCTGCTTCATTTCTTCTGGGAAGTTGCAAATACGCAACCAGGCGTGTCTGTGGAGAGAAATGGCACCAACAAGTGACCTTGAATCAGTATCTACATGGTGCCTGGCTGTAGAAAGTTGTTGCACAGCCACTTGCATAGCTTCCTTAACAAAGGTTTTTGCCAGCTCGCCCTGGTTGCCTGGGAAGGTGGCAATGATACTATCTAGGCGCTGCATCAGGAAATATTGATAGCGCACCAAGGTCACTTCGTAATTTGAAATCTGTAATCCGAGGCCAGAAGCCGTGTATACCCGGCGCGTGAGGGAGTCAACTTTTCTTCCCTCCTTATCGCGAGGCGAGGTGTGTCCACGTGCTTACCGGCCCTGAGAAGATTCCACAACAACCGAGTTCGGCTTGGGGTGGCGGAGGAGGAACAGAATGTCCCCCTCCCGAACCTGGTACATGGACTCATATTTACGTGAAGTCGGTTATGGATGGGCCGGGAGGTCCCATGGTTGAGTCATCGCCTGCCGTAGAGTTGTTCTAAACGGTAAGGCGATGGAGGTGGATTGTTCGCCCCTGACCACATCATAAAAATGGTCAGTGCTTGGTTCCAGTTGTTGGTGGGCTTCAATGTTGAGCGACTTCACCAGCCTGGCCATTAGCTCGGTGAAGGAGATGTACGGTTCCTCGGGTGACCTCAGGCCTTGCAAAGTAACCGCTGCATCTAGCGAAGTCGAGTCAACCTCAGATTTGTCTGATTCCAACAAGTAAGGAGGTGGGGCACTGGAAGAGGAATCTCCGGGTGACCCCGATCTGCCGCTCTCTCTAGATGGGGCCCTCGGGGTGTCTCTGGGTGTAGAATGAAAACGATCCTGAGGAGCTGGCGGCGAGGATCGTCCTCTGGAAACCAGATAATAGCCCACAGATTGGTACTATTCCCGTCTCGGAGTGGAGGAGTATCGGGATTGGTACCAGTCATCAGTTCTGGCATCCGAAGAACGGCTCCTATGGCTTCTCGGAGAGATGGCGATGTCGTATCCAGAGGGACGGGCGGCATTGGTGTTGGAGACCGAGCTCTCAGTGGAGAATCTTTTATTTCACCATCAGAGATCAAACCACGCCGTGGGTCCTTAAGTAGTTCGGCTGCTGGTCGGCGTGGTGAGCCTGGTGGAGTGACCCTCATAGCCGCCTGGATGGTCGGGACCAAGGGGGTCGGTTCCGTGACCAGAGTCGGAATCGAGGAGGTCGCTGAACCCGAGTGCCGATGCTTTGTATACTCGGGATTCCTCGGTTTCTTAACCTGCCAGCCTTATCTTTTTTGGCCTTCTTATGCACAGGATGCTTTTCTGGGTCACTGTGCTTCCTTTTCTCCTTTTGTTTCCTTGGTAGGGAAACAGGCTGATTGGCCATACTAGAAGCACCTTCTTCAGAAGGGCGTGAGGGCAGAGCAATGGAGGAAGAGGCCGAGCACTGCGGCAGATCGGCCGAAGTTGGACGGCCTTCAGGTGGAGCCACAATTGTGGGAGGCTTAGCCACCAGCCGGTCCAACTGGAGGAGAACCTGGTCCCACAAGAGTTTGCGGAGGCGGTTCTCCCGATTCTTCCTCGCCTGTTTGGAGAAGACCAAGCAGTGGCAGCATTTATCTGTCCTGTGTCCTTCCCCCAGGCAAAGGAGGCACAGGTCATGTGGATCCACAGTGGGCATTTTAGAGCCACACTTCCTGCATTTGCGGAACGCCACCCATTGCGGAACGCCACCCATCGTAGAAAAAGAAAAGAAGGAGATAGTAAAGCGGAAGAATAATATTTTTGGCTTTTTTTTTTTTTTTAGGAACAAGAGAGAAAAGTGAGAAAACAAGAACTAAGTGAAATACTAACAGTAACACGAACAAGGGAATACTAACTTGGTAAGAAAAACGGAAGTTTTGCAACAAGCGAGAGAGGCAAGTAACGATCTAAGCAAGAGCGAAGCAGCGCGAGGCACAACGAATGGCGGTCACAAAGACTAGAAAATGGCGGATACTCCACTCCTTATATAATACTAGGGGGGAGGGGGAGCGGAGTTTCCCGCCAAAACCATTGGCTGTTAATCTTCCGGCCAAAGGCACTGCGCAGGCACAGAACCCATATGTGTGATGCACAGAGGCCACGACAAAGAACCACAGATTCATTATCAGAAATATGAGGATGGTTATTAATGTAAACACTTCTTTAAGAATTAGACAAATCTGTGGAAGACAGATAAACAGATACTAACTATGAAAGTCATATGGAACCTCAATGTTTAGCAGCCATGTATCTTTGAAGATAAATGTAATCTATCAAATTATGACCCAGTGACAAGCTTCCCAATTTGGCCAATGTTGGATGGAGACAGAAGCCCAGATAGACTCTGTCAGATCCAGCAAGCAATTCTTACCTTCTTAAATGGCAACTGCATCTATGGATTCAAAGGTTACATTACTTTTTCTCAAAAGTACTGAACAACTTTGCTGTTAGCCTTGTTATTTTTAACATACCATGTAGATTGCTTAGAAATCAACTCCTCTATTGATTCCAAAAATGTTCTTCTGTACAAAGATGATGGTTTTTAAGTGACTCATCCAGGAAATAAAACACTAATTTTTTTCTACAACCCTTTTTCAGTCATAAAATATACATTTCTCAATTTCTATAATGGTAAAGATAAACACTTACCGACAGGATAATTCACCATCCATAGCATCATGTTCTTCAGTACTGGTATAAGTTAATCTACCTCCTACAACTGTTCCAACAAAATATACAAGCCACGCCAAGCGTCCTGGCACAGGGGCGGGGGCAGGGAGAAGGAAAAAGAAAAAGAAAAATATAGAATTTACATTACAATTCTAAACATTAAAAATTTCCAGCATGTTCTGTGCTGATCAAGTATGGAAATGTCGGAGAACTCAAATCATTGACTGAGGATATTTGGTGATTCTTTCAATTAACAAAATTACTGTATAACAGAGCTTTGTTTTCCACATCCATACCAAGGCTATCATGTTTTGCACCTTTTGCTGTGAAGAAAGAAATGGGAATGGAACTTGGAAGATTATCAAAGCTACTGTGCTGACTTTGAAATTTACTTATAAAAATGCTGATAATAGCTAATGTTTTTCACTGCTCTTCTAAAATGCTATAAATTGAGGATAAATATCTATATTCACCAAGTTTCTGAGATTTACCTTAACATGTGCATCAACTGAGATTGCAACTCTAGTATTAAGACTGACATTTTAAACATAGTCTTGCATATTTAATCCCGGGGACTATTAAGTCTTTTGTCTTTTCATGACAATGTTTTAATTAATTCAGAAGACTTTAAAAGAAACTCTCCCAACTGAGTTGGAAAATCTTTTGCTTTTCCAGAATTACTCCACAGAGATGGCAGGACCATAACATTACAGACCTTAATGTAGCTTCTGGACTGCCAAAAGGTGCTCTGATGAATGACCATTATCCGGAGAGCAACAAAAGGAAAACATCTCCCCTGGCCATGGCTGGATGTCTCAGATGCTTTTGATATTACGGACTATGCTATTCTCTTGAGCCATTTTGAACATATGGCAAGTGTAAGGGATTCCATTCATTCTGGAATGGTTCGATTCTCTATGTTCTATAGGACACAGACAGCAATTGCCTCATGGAAACTGTTGTGTGGGCTATTCTTCTTTTCAAGTGAATATCTCAGGGCTATTCTTCTTGACTAAAGATCCAGGAGCTACCAATGCCAACCTAATGAAATGCCTACAAGTACTACTCAAGTGCAGTAACATGAAGAAACTGAGGTTGGATTCAAACAAGAAAGAGACGATATTGCTAAGGAATGCCCATAGTCTACAGAAAATTGGTCTGGCTGTGATAGAAAGAGCTAATGTAACTGCATCTGATCAGATAAAGATAACAGGATTTTTCCTGGATCCATAAAGGTCTTAGAACAGCAGCCCCTAGTGCATTAGTTCAGACAGAATACCATCCAAACCTGGGATAGATTGCTGTTATAGCCGATAGAAACTAGTTCGAAGTTGACTAGTTTCTGAAGCTAACTTGTTCTCATTAATCACAGTTGTTTGTTTGATCAACACATTAAAATTCAATTATCCTAAACTTCCAATCCCTTCCTTGCAGTCTTATTGTATGAATTCTCCCAAAGGGCTGGCACAGCTATACCAATACATGCTTCTATAGGTTCAAGGCCTGATTACTGCAATGCACTATCATATGAACCTGAAAGCATGGATTAAGTGCAGGCTATGTATGACACGTGTTCACCAGGTTTGCACAACATGAATAAGTTGCATATCCAAAATGGCAGCTGCACACAACCGGATATACTGTAGCCACACCATGGGCAGACTACTGTGTGGTAAAAACAACAACTCTGTAATCAACTATTAATTTTTAAAAAGAAAATCAATATTGAACAATTACAAACAATTTCACTTCTTTAAGGTAACCACCACCACATCTGAATGTATGAATATTGGTAAGGCTGAAATTTAAAAAGCCATAACATGGATTGATAACCTCTTCAAAATTCAAGATTAAATTCAGAAGTACTTTTGTCAGCACATAGGGTATTTTGCTAATGATCTTAAGTTGGTCCCTATCCACAAAAAATAGAATTCATTCTCCATCACAATTCTCTGCTTATTTCCTTTATTTAAAGCATTTAGTATTGCTGCTTTTCCAGCTGCTTAAGGAGAATATTTTTTCTTTACTAAAATAATTATTGCTGTAATAATCTGTAATTATGTTTTATAACAGCAATAATCCCAAAGAAATCAGTCACTACCATAGATCACAAGTAATCGTTAACTACTGTTAATGACCCATTTCTTGGGGATTATTGTTTTAGTAAACCATGACTGCATCATAATCGATACAGAGAGCAAGACAATATAATAAAATGAGGTCTTAATATTATATTACATTATTTTGTAACATTAAAAGCCATTAAACATCGAAATTAAAGTGTGTATAACTAGGGGAGGTAACATTTATTGTTCTGTGCTAACAGAAATGTTTAGTCCACAGAAAAGAAAGTGAGTATTATACAAATGGTTGTACAAAAAGCAAGCATTACCAATGTTTATTGCAAGAAAAACATTATTCAAAACCACTGAACTACAGAAGTTTTCTGAGAATAGCTAACTGCTTTGATCTCATACCTTCGGCTATTAAATATCTGAAACTTAATTTTCAAAAAGAATGGAACTCTAAAATAATATAGCTTCAGTCTTAACCATAATCATCTCTATAATGTTTTATTAACATTAAAAGTACTTTTCAGATGATATCATAATATTCCTCTCAACACCCCAGTTAGCGGACTACTGCAGATAGAAATGGTATAGTGGTCCGAGGCTGAGACAGCGACTTATGTAAGGCTACCTAATAAAGACAGGCACGCAGGTGCATGTAGTTGCACAGTGATCAAAGTCACACAATAAACTGAAGGTTATGGGAGGGCTGTTTAACCTTCCAATAATTCTCAGCAGCTGGATTTGCACAACACAGTGACTGCCAAGCAGGGGTTGCACATACAAAATCTCACTCAGCAGGTACCATGGGTCATCAACGGTGAAACCCTGATGAGATTTTCTGATATAACACACTTTGTTTCTTTAGTTCTAGTTTGGAGAGTTTAAGGCCCTCTATCTTCAATGCCTACACTAGGTATTTACATTTCTATGTATTCTAGCATTCTTCATTAAAGCACAGCCAGCTTGTTGATGAATATGTGCATTTCATAACAGGACAGTAATTTAGCCATCACGGGCATCTTTGTCTTTTGACCTTCACTGTTCGCTTGGATTGTGCCACTGATACATCATGCCAAATACGTTGAGAGATGGGGCCATAGTTTAGTTATAGCACATTGCCATTTCTAGGTAATAGGTTTCAGATAAGACATGCTAGGAAACCAAAGGTCTCCCTGAGGCCAATAATTCCATTGGGCAAACCATGATCATGCAAACAGTGGCATATCTAGGCACCATTTGCCTAATCCCCTTCCCCACAGCAGCCCACGGGTTAGTTGAGGGTTGCTTTCTCCTCCAGAAAGCCATGCCCACCTCCCGCGAAGCCTGGAAGGCACAGCAAGCTGCACTCAGGCAGATGATTAGGCAAATAGCACTCAGCATGTGAAACAGCTCTATGTCTGGCCTAAGGACCAATGGCCTGGGTCAATGTAAGGCAGCTTCATATATTCATCAGGAAGTTGATGTTTACTAAGTAAGTTAATATTTACTAACCTTCTTGGATGGAGGTTGCCAGGGGATTTCTACTAGATGACTGCAACAGTTTCTGATAGTTTTGCGCATTTTGGTCAAACAGCTGTACAAGAAGAGTACAAGTCTTTTCATATTCACATCTGCTAACTGTGCACAGTTGCTCCAGCTGCTGAAATACTGTGGCTGTATCATCCAAGGGATCATCCAAGCCATCTCTGGAATACATATTTTAAAATATCATTCTATGCAATGTACATTGTGTAAGCTTTGTTCCTACAGTGGGTAGGTTCACATAATATAACAACCCATTGTGGATAACCATGCTGGGTTGCCATGTTGTCTGAGCCCAAACTTTCTGCAGGTTGATTTATTTTTCAGTAACAAACCACCATGATGACCCATAGCTTATTCTAGGTGTTTTTGATCCATTATAGGTTGTCATGTTGTCTGACCCATTATAGGTTGTCATGATCCAATTCCACTGCAGACTGTGGGTGTTAGCTAGCCAGTACAGCAAACCCTGCCACACTTCAAAATCTCAGCTTTGCCACCACCAATGAGAGATCCTCCAGCAATGCCTAAGCAGCACTCTAGAGCAACTGCCATTAGTTTGCTACCCTTAAATAATGGAATTATTGTTTTCTGCATTTTTTTTCTTTTTTTGAACCTTCAAAATAGGACAATTGGGGTAATGGTGTTTTCAGCCCCTGAAAATTGCCTAGCTAGGCTTTTCTTTTCTTTTTTGCTTTTTTTTTGCAGGAGGCAGTTTTTCACAGATGCACAAGTACATACTTATGACTATCCGATATGTGTACTCTTGTCTTGTCAATGGCCTTCTAGTGGCCATCGTTTCACTATCAAAGGAAATAAATTGCAATGGAAACTGACAAGACAAGACCATATAGAAACTATTTGCACATAGCTGCCAGGGACTTACAAGGGACTACACATATCAAATACATTTGTAGACCTATAAATGTCAAATAAAAATACACATCTGTGCAATTTTGTGGTGCCAAACAAAGAATGACTACACGTTTGAAGCCCTGATTTGTTTTTTAAAAGCAGCAAATGAAAAGGATTATCAATCAGAGTAGGAAAGAGAAGTCAATGTGGGTTCTGCCATGAAGGACACTGGAATACTGGCTGAGGACCAAGGAGGAAGGAGTGGGAGAACAACCCATGGGGTGCTTCTGTCTTGCTTTTTATTTATTTCATTTATATACCACCTCATAGCTGAAGCTCTCTGAATGGTTTACAACAATTGAGTGGCTTAGCCTGTCACGCAAATGTACCCAGCAAGAATTTAAGTATTTTGATTTAGATTTCCAAGTTATTACTTAAGCATGTAGCATAAAAAATTATCTGGAAAGATCTTTTAAAAAGAAAGGAAAGTGATGGCACTAAACAACTCTGAGCAGTGGCTTCACATTCGTTATCTTAGAAATACAGCATTGGAAAAAGCCACATCTTACGTAGATTGGAGTCAACTGCTTTCAGTAGCATTTTTCTCACTCAGAGTATATTGAAAATGAACTGAAAGCTGCTATCCTAATACAAGATAACTACACAACAGCATACTATCTAGTCTGAAACAATGCAGTACTATTCATCGCGAATACCACTCCACATTACCTCATAACCATGGAGACAGATTCCAATCTAGAAGTAATATATGCCTTTGTGATCTCAGGTGCATATGTATCTAAGAGATGGGGTTCTGATGATTTCACAAAAGGCACTGAGGCAACCATTCTCTGCCAAAGAGTTAGCAAATAATGAACGCTGTTTGGTGCAAATTCCCAATGCTACAAAGATACAAAGTAAGATTTTCATTAGAGTATGTCTTAGTCCAATGTGACCAATTACAAACATTGCAATCTACATTACCACTATTATTTATTATTTTGTTTGTGCTTCACTTAGAACCAAAGCCCCATGATGGTATGTAAAACTGAAAAAGATGTGAAGCGCAAAACTACTGCAGCACTCACTTGTAATAAATCCATCATCTAAGTAATGCACCAAAAAGCTCCAGCACTGTCAAAAGATCACAGAACACTTCTACAACTGCCTTACCTGTAAGCTGGTAATCGTGAAGCTGGCTATCAATCGAATGACTTCTGGGTAATCTTTCACAACTACTAATTCCCCCAATTGATAATTAGTCTTCAGTCGAGCCAAAAATCGACAAAATTCATGGTAGTTACCAGGGTCAGATAAACCCTAAATTACAGAAAAAACATGAATAATTTTCATGATTAGAGTCACTGTCTAATGGCACACATATATGAAGACATACCTCTAAAACAGCATATTATTTTGCATAGAGTGGCTGCCCCAGGATGTTATGCATCCCCTGAAGAGGATCTTGAAGGATTCAGAAGCTGTGATACAAGTCCGAATAGGGAATTACAGATTGCATATATAACATATTTTTAAAAATCAAATGCTATTTTAAAATACAAACAAATTCAATAGACAAAGCTGGGACACAGAGGCCATACAGTTGGTGATCAGAAAATGCACAATCACAGTGTAGTGCTGGCTGCCTCTTTGAGTTGCATGAATAATAAAGTGTATATGTGTCAAGGATGGTCAACTTGAAATCCTCCAGATGTGTTGGCTAAAAACTCACAGCAGCTCTAATCAGTATAGCCAATGGTGGAAGTTGAAGGGAGTTATAGACCAAAACATCTTGAGGACCACTAGTTCCCCAACACTGATGTATATGCATATGCCAATCAATATTAAAGCTTAACAAGAATGGTGGAAGTCTTTAATGATACCAAAGCTTTATTATTCCCTAAACTACCAGAACTTAGTATGCTTTAACTTACTTATTTGATTTATATCCCACCTTTCTCAGTTAAAGAACTCAAAGCAGCTTACTTCATTCTCCTTCTGCTCTCAAACTTATCCCCACAACTACAACCCTGTGTGGTAGGCTGGCTAAGAGACTGTGACTGGTGCAAAGTTACCCAGTTGGCTCCATAACCAATTCTCCATTAAAAAGAACTTTAATTCTCCTCAGGGTAGAATTATTTAAATCAAAATGACTTAAGATTTTACATTCAGATTGAAATCAGCAGTACTTAAATAATTTTAAATGAAATTTCCCATTGAAATCTTTTCTCTTAAACAAAGGTGCAAATTCTGACCATTAAGCCATGTTAATTTACAACAAATTCCATGTTTTTTCATTATTACTATTGCACTTCATTTATACCCCCACCTTTCTCCATCTTGTAAGCCCAGGACAGCTTAAACAGCTCCATTTTATCCTCACAACAACTTGCGAGATAGGTTGGGCCAAGAACTGTAACTGGCCCAAAATCACCCAAGGAGCTCCATGGCCAAATAGAAAACAGAATCCTGATCTTCTGGATCCTGTGTCCAACACTCTAACCACTACAACACGCTGACTCTCTATACTGTTTCAATCTTACAAGGAGGTTTTGCATGTCTTGCTATATTTTTTTGCATGCTTCTTTTTTATCAACAGAAGTAATGTTTTCAAAATAGAAAAACGTTTGACCAGCAACCATGCCAGTTCAAGGTTAACAGCACAATATTATACATGTCTCCTCCTCATAAATGTTCCACTGAGTTCAATAGGGTTTACCCCCAGGTAAGGGAGGAACTGCAGTAAGTTTACTCCAAATAAATGAATATAAAATTAGTATGAAAATGCCAGAAGATGACAGTGGACAATTTTGCCTTCTCTTTTCCTTTCCAGTGTTGCTCTTTTCCACTTTATTATGTTTTGGCTCAGCCTTACCCACAGAAAAAATAAAATAGCAAACAAAAATGAATGCCCATGACTTTCATAGGAGAGTCTGATAGTTACCAGGAAAAATAATCCAACATATTTTTTTTAATCCACCTTTTGGGTGTCTTCAAAGGACTAATTTTTACTTAGCCTGCTCTACTGTCTTACTGTCTGAATTAATCCCTCTGCCATGGCTGGCCCAACTCCACCACCACATAAACAATGCTATCTATCCTGTATCTTTAGCCAGAGAAACTGAAAGCTCAGAATTTCCAAGAGGCAAAAACTGAATGTGAAGCTGGACAGAGCCATTTCCGTGAGATGAACAACTGAAATTAATGCCTGTAAGATTGGTAGATAAGTTCAGACTGTAAGCATGCTGTTTAGCTGGTTTATGTTCAGATTTAATTGCAACTGTTATTTTTTTAAGTGAGAGATTAATTATGTTATGCAGGATGTTATAAAAATTACACTGACTTCAAAAAATATTTCATAAAATATTGTATTTTTAAATCGTAACTGTTTCCTTTATAGCCCCTTAGGGGGAAAATGAATTAAAAGACAGTGATGTAACCAACTCAGCTACCCAATGTTAATTTCTATCAAGTACTGAGTGGCTGGAGAGGGTGTGTGAGGGGCTACAGGTTTCTTTGTAGTAATTCTCTTAGAACCCTAATGCAGGTACATTGCCTTAGGAGTACAACATGATCTCAGCAATAGTGCGGCAAAGGAAAGAAGAGTTGTTTGACTCCTTTCTGATCCAAAGCTATTTGAAGATCAAGGGCTACTTTCCCCCACGCCGCACATCCCAACATGTGCAAGACTGTGTGGATGTATTGCCAATACACACATTCTTAACAGGGCCAAGCAGAGCAACAGAAAATAAGTGGTGCACATACTCACCTGGCTCTATAATTCTATAATTCAATTTACCCTCACCTGGCTCTCTCACATAGAGAACTTCATTCATTATAAATAACTGTGTTTGGCTTTTTCAAACCCAAAGAGCATATTTGGAAGCACGCATGCACAAAAAATTATACTGCTTTTAAAAATATTAAAAGATTATTTATCCTTCTAGAAATTATGACGACCAATGAAACAAGCTCAGTGGCTAGCCAGCACACCAGTCTTGCACTGACCCCAATTTTCCCACACGTTCCTCATGGTCATTTTCTCCCAAACTCTGGCAACACCATAGCAGCTACTCACTGGCTGGAGGGAATGGGAAAAATAAGCCTCATCCTCTCACCCTGAGTTGTATGAAGAGCTATATATGATGCCCCATAAAGATTGGTATGCGGTCTCTCTGCATATACAGAGTACATCAACATAACATTACACCCAACTCTTCAACCCCAAACATCACCACAAATGCCAGTTTGGCAGCCCTCTCCATGCAAACTCTACCTGTGGACTACCACCCGCTGGTCCCAAAAATTAACAATAAAGTAAAAATCATAGAAACCAGAACTGATGAGAAGATGGAGAAATGTATACCTGAGGGTTTTCAAGTATTCTTTTTACTCCTTTGATCAGATTACCTAGGTACTTGGCACGTTCTGGGTTGCTGAATAAGGATCGCCTTGTAGAAGCAAACTGAACTAAACAGGAAAGTGCCTACAAAGGAAACAAGGATTTCAAAGGATTACATTTTTAAATGATATAAATACTTCATTTTGAACTAAAGGATCTACAACCATACAACAATCTACAACCACAGGCTCCTTGCTATTATGCCAGGCAAATTTATGTTAGCTTAGGAAGTCCCCCCCACCCCCACCCCCACCCCCCTCAAGTTGAAACAACAGTTAGTTTAGCCCTACATACATTGTGTATAAAATGCTGAAGTTATCCAGGACAAAAATATTAAACAAGATGAATCTGAATATTCCTACACATGTAATGCCTAATGAAGTTGGAGAAAACCACAATGGATTACAATGAACTCAGATTTCTAGGAATCCAACCAGTGGATTCCACATAGGATTACTATTTTTTTTAAGTCTCATATATTTCACAAAGTTGCAGAATGTTTTTTCCCATGGGTATAGAAATTGTTTAAATCTGAACTTGTGGAAATGCACACTTGTGCAAAAAGAATGAAATTCTACTACATTCCAACAAACCTCACCATTCTGTGAATGAACTGACAATGAAATGCAGGATAACAGACAATCTGCAAAACTAAGATAGAATGAATTTAAGAAAAATACCTACATAGCAGATACAATCCACACACAGTTAGGCAGAGCTTGGCTCCACAGAAAATCAGACTTCTGGTGTGATCCCATCACAATCTGCCAAGGCCAGCACCCTACTATGAGCCAGCCTTCTTAGCTGACTGGAAGTATCATTAAAGGGAAGCCAGCTATTATTTGATGAACTATTTTTTAATGTTTGATGGTCAAGGAGGAGGAGAGCTACTTGTGGGATTTTCTGCCTCAGGCACTAAGCAACCTTACTGGCCTTGAGTACTCTGTGCACTGACTTGCGGGCTGTGGGGAACAGAGCTCCATGTATTGCTTTGACCCAAAACAAAATGTCTGGGCCAAGACTGATTTCCTGATTTGCAGGCATAATGATATGCTGTGATTATACAGTTAATCTGAAGAGATACTACAACAACCCAGTAACCTATACCAGGCTGTTATAATGTGGTTGTTGAGCTATCACAGTTATGGCAATGTGAAAACAAAACTGGGCAGAAAATGAGGCATGGCAGAGAAAGAATGGAGCATTATTATAATTATCACTTTCGCTATCATTATCTTTATCTCTATATCGCTCAATAGCCAAAGCTCTCTAAGCAGTTTACAACAGATAAATACAATATAAAATACAGGTAACAATAAAATCATCATAAAAACAACCATATAAAATTGAAAAGTGAAATTTTAAAACAAATGTAAAAAGCTACAATAGCTTGTACAAATTAAATATAAAACCTGTTTAAGCAGCTAACCTAATTCCAATATAATATTCATTTTCTTAAGATCCTATCTAAGATTCCATATTGAGGAACTAATCATTATGCTGCTGCTACCTTAAAGGCAACACAAATGAACTCAAAATGAAACATTTAAACTTGATAGCCTTGAGCAGTAACTCACTGCACATATATATGTATGTACACACATCCCTACATATTTCCATTCATGTTTGAACACATGATTCCCCACTAGCCAAGTTGCCAATTATGACTTGGGAAAAAGACTATAAATACACTTTAACAGGGCAAGGCAATTTGCATAACAAGATCTGCTGCAGCATTGGGCATTGTAAACATACAGGTGCACACAAGAGGAAAGAAATAAGTGATGAGGGAATTTTAGTGAAATGGCAATCCACAAATCCATTTTGCACAAGCACTCAGCATTCAATGAAAGAACCCCAGAAAGAAGATTCCTGAGAAGTAGCTTCCTTAGGCCTTTCAACATAGCTCTCTCAACACTACAGTTACAACACGGAAACCAAGAACAAAAATACCCCAAATATGTAAGCAAGGCCAATCATAAGGGAAGAGTGACAGCTTCACCACACCCATCCTGGTATTGCTTCTGTGAGTTCTTCTCATCTGTAGGCAAGACATGGGGTGAGGGGCAAGCACTATGTGAAGAAGGAGCGTACAATTCAGTGAGAGTACAGTAAGGGAATAAACAGAAATGACCAGGATTTTTACACCAGATATGGTGCTTCTGAATATCTGGTAATGCCATTTGGATTGGTGGGAACCCCCCCACCCCCCGCATCTTCATGTGTTCCACATTTTTCTATGACTTATCTCCACAATATACTTATTTACTCTAATGACAACCAGAAAGCCTGTAGGTGGGTTGGAATGCATAGTTGAAATGCAAAGATTAATGAGTTCTGAAATTAGCCAAGCAGCTGGGGAGAACCAGACACCCACTAGTTTGGAGGTAGGGAGGCAATGTAGAACAGGGAGGGTCAGAGGAACAAGTGTGTGAATTTATCAGCCCAGTGTCTCATTATCAAGTCAAACAACCAGGTCAATTAATGTCCAACATTCCTGCCACCTGGCTCACAACCACTGCAAGCCTCCTTGGAGGTAAAGCCGGCTTAGTTTGGAGGGGAAGTGAAGAAGGGAATTCAGTTTAGAATCAAATTCTGGCATGGGCAAGAACTAACTCTACAAATTAGAAGTATTAGATTGATGGATGCTTCTAGTTAATACCTTTGTAATAAATTGCAAAACCAACCCCAACTGACCAGCCTAAGTGAAGGGTTGGAGTTAGAAGCCTTTCACCTTGATCTGCTAGAAAGGGAAAAGGGGAAAGATGCAGCTTCAGGCTATTAGGCAGTATAAAAATGAAATAAATAAAATGAATGTGCTCACAATAACCAGCACTAAAGCCTCAATGATTTCAACTTCAAGTATGTGTATTCAGCCTTTCCAAACCTGATGCCCTCCTAGTGTTTTGGATTAAAACTCCCATCAGCCTCAGCCAGCATGACTAATGGTCAAGGATTATGGCTGCTGCAACACAAAATAACTGGACAGTATAGAAGCAGAAATGGAAGCTGGAAGGATAGGGGCAAGGGGCATGTCTTAGTATGGTACATTTAACAAATGTATACTGCTATGGAGACAGCTTTTCAGAGAGCCCTTCCTTCCTTTGCCTATTGAAGATTACTGAAAACATACTTACTAGCTGAGACAGCATTGATGGAAGAGAATGATAGAGATCAAAAAAGAGGTCCAAGGTCTCTGGTTCCAGGAAGACTGAGAAGGAAAGATGAGAAGAATGAGGCAAATTCCTGTATCAGAGTGCAATAGAGAAAGTAACTTTACTGTATCACCCCTCTATTTAAAATGTAACAGTTTAGTGTTTAGTCAGCATGAGGAAGAAAACACATCGCAATACAGAAATAAACCACAGCCCAGACCTAATATTACAACAAACAAGTAGACCCCATAATGAGTGGCACTTACTATTACTACACAACCCAACATCATCTTTTCGGGCTGGTGCCTCCCTCAAGAGCTCAACTAAATTTCTAATAGTGCTGTGCCATGAGTAGAGGGCCGGCATGTTCCCCAGCCCTCCCCGCTTAGGGTTTACTGATGCGACTGTTCACTGCTGTGTCCATCCTCATTCCACTCATGGCACTCATTCCAGTGCTGTGCATTTTTTCTTTAGCCACCTCTTGTTTCTGGGAGTGTGATAAAACCCAGCTGGATATACTGCCATCAAGGCCACATCACAATGCCATGAAAGCAGTCAGATACAGCTGTGTAGTAGTCAGATTCAGCTGTGCAGTGATGTCACAACCCCAGGCTGCACACAACCTCAAGTGGATTCAAAGGAGGAGGCTGTGCTGCAAAACACTTCCAGCCGTCTATAAACACCCCACACTCAAAAACACCAGCAACAGTAGTGGTATGTAATGTTCATATAGCATCCCTTTGCCCCTACTTAATTTCTGCAGTAAATTCTACTCCTGCTGCCACTTCAGTGCTGTCTCTTTTCATTCAGTTTCTCCCCTTCTTATGACTGTGTCAAGCACAAGAGAGGCCATAGGCAATAAACCAAATCATGGACTTTTTCAGTGTTCTTTTCTAAGACCTCTTTTGGGTTTAACAGTAGCAATAAAAATCAATAGTTAACACTGTTATTTTCTTTCACAGTCTTAATAGTTCCTATTACATCAAATCCATGCAATAGGCCATTTTGCTACATTAATATTACATATGCTTATGTGTCTGCAGAAAGTTACACAATATTCAGTTTTTATCCTAAAATAGTGAACCCTGAAAATGTATATAGAACTGGTAACAAAAGTTCTACTTAGCGATGAGCAAACAAGTTCATTTTTATCTAGTTCCCTTGAAAAGTTCATTTTATTAACTAGATGCACTTTTCATGCACTAACATGTTCCCAATTACTCAAAAAAAAAGTAGTTCTCCAAAACATTAACAACTGCCACACAGAAAAACACTTTAAATGTATTCAATATGATTAATATACAATATACTATAACTAGGCATGGGTGAAGCTGGGGAGAGAAATTCCACAGGTGAAGCCAAATTTGTGGGCCAGACTTGTAAAGAGTTCTATGCGTCCATCCAGACTCTGTCCAAAGTCAGGCTCCAGAAGGCCCTGTACCAAAAAAGTCCCTGCAGAGGCCTGTAGGCATACTTAACATGGCAATGAACCATATGGACTTAAGTGCCCCAGCAATTCATGGCAGTGACTGCCTGGAGAGAACCCTCTTGCTTGTTAACAACCACCAATGTCTCAAATGTGGGCATGAAACTACGTTTCAAGCATGGCAGATATCAGGTGGGCAGGTTTTGCCTCTCAAAATCTAAGCTCTTTGCATGGACTGCAGACCTTAGATCTGCAATAGGCAACACACTGGCCCTGCCGAAGCCCCCACTCCCTTCCCCCAAATTTTGGAAAAAACACTGGGGAAAATGGGTTCTGTAGCAATTATGAAAAAGGACAAATTTAGCTTGGATACAAATAAAATCAGATCCTTTTGATGCTCCAAGCTACTATTGATGGCATTTATTTACTGACAAGAGGTGATACTAAGGCCCTTTAGAAGGGGGCTCAACAACAAAAATGGCCCCAAGACCTGCTACCATTGCCCACTCCTGTTCTAGTTTAAACTTCAATACAAAGACAAAAGATCTTCCTATAACCAAACGTTTCAACTGTGTCATTCCTAGTTTATCTATTGGCAGGACAGCCATCTTTTGCTGTCTGTTTCTCTATTTGGAAAAGTTCCCCTGCTACTATGATATTTCACTGATAAAAGCAGTTCAAGGTACAAAGTGAGAAACAATGATCCAAGGATATCTCTTAGAAAGATCATCTTTTACTAATACATGTATGGAGTAAAAAAGACATTTCAGTGTTCACTGTTGCCTCAAAATGTGCAAGATGGACATTTTCAGCTTCCTCAGGAAAAAATACCCTCAAAAGAGTAATCATAAAAAGAATATTTTGATAAACAGTAGGAGGTGGTGGTGAAGAACAAAGAAAATATTCAAGGGAGGGATGGGGAAAACTGAAGCAAAAGGAGCAACTCGTGTATTACGGCATGTTACATTCTTAACTATATGGATTACCAAACAAATCATGACTATTCAGGGGCTAGTATTGCAAGAGGAACAAAATTAGTATAACACAACATTATTTCATGTGGTATCACATTGCAGGTTCACATATGACAAATAAAAATCACAGTCCCTCTCTTTAAAAATAATGCTTGAATGGATCACACTTAAAAACTCCATAATTTAAATCAGGCTTGGTCTGTCCCTGTTCTGGTAACTTAAAAGTTTGGAAAAGCGACTGGTTACAAGTTGTGAAAGGTGGGATGTTTCACTCTATCAGTTAATTCATCTACCAATTTATATAATTAAATCTGTACAACGAAATAGTCATAAGCCATATATCTGCATATTATATTATCTCAAGGAGTGCCTGCACCCATATGTGCCTACCTGGCCTTTGAGATCTACACAGGGAGCCCTCCTGTGTGAGCCATCCATTGAGGAGGTGAGAGGGATGGCTGCTAGGAGGAGGGCCTTTTCTGCAGCTGTTTCCCATATCTGGAATGCTCTCCCCAAGGAGATTTGCCTGGTACCTTCCTTATATTATTTTTGGCTCCAGGCAAAGCCCTTCCTTTTTTCAAAAAATATTTTAATAATTAATGCCATTTGACCTTTGTTTTATATTTTTGCCTGCATTTTATTGATTTAGTATTTTTAATATGTTGTAGTTGGTTTTTATTGTGTTTTATCTTGATTGTGAGCTGTCCAGAGGTGCTGTGGCACAATTGGGCAGCATACAAATGTTTTACATCAATAACATAAATAAATAAATAAATAAATAAATAAATAAATAAATAAATAATGCATTTACATACCTTTACAGACACAGAATATGGCTACTGAATTAAAAATGCACATTATCACAGATGCCACACAGAACATTTTTAATGAATACGTATGATTCTCTTACTTGATCGCCAGTTTGTTGGAATCTGCACTGTGCATAGATCATCTGCAGATTCATCTGCTGAACTGCCAATGAAGTCATAGTTAAGACAATTGAGAACAAGTTTCAAAAGGTGCAGTGCTAGATTTTGTTGTTGTTGGTCCTGAAGATCCAATGGCTTTGCCAACATCTAAATCCAAGTAAATAAAGAAAAATGTGTGTCAGTAAAATGTGTGTCTGAATATGAATAGGCTTGCATTAAGGAGGCCAGTAAGAATGCACAGTCATTCATGAATGGAGAGTAGAGGAAGGAATTGGTTAATTTTTTATTTTTGAATAGATGCCTTTTAGGCATAAAAAAATAAAAAATAAAAAAATTAATTTACAACTGAATAAATGCATGGATATCTGGACTACCTTGGCATAGTTTACCAATAAATATCCCTTAGAATAGTGGTATGTTTTTCTATACATAAAATATATAAAGGTACGTTATAAGTATGCATGTATTCATTGTAATAGAGTCATAAAAACATGTAAGAAAACTAAAACTACCTTATTTCTGTGTTGTTTTGATTTTTTGAAACTGGCAATAAAAATCAATTAAAATATTCTGAACAAGTAGCAAATGAATGTGTAAAGCAAGAACATATCCCAATACTAAACAGTAAAATGTCCTCCTCTGCTCTATATTCATCAATTATTCTCATCAGTCCTCACTGACATAAACTTATTCATGTGTTTAATATGTGGCAAAATCATTGGCTATAAGAACTTTCACTGACAAATGTGTTTATCAGGCCATTTAAGTGTCTTGTGTGTTACAATGGCTGCATTCATATACAATAATATGCCCAAAATCCCAGCATAGGTATGAGTTGTGTACTTTGCATGTAGACTGTCCACTCTTCCCCTCATTTGAGCAGGCCAGCAAAAGAGGCAGGGACAGCTTAAAAAAGATTCCCCATCCTGGCAACCTCCTGATGTGTCACACTACCACCTCTAGGATGGACCATGCTGACTGGGAATGATGGCAGTCCAGCTGGAGGGCATCAGGATACAGTAGGCTATGTTAAGGTTATGTCCAAACCCATGACAGTGTACTCAGAGAAGACAGGATTTATAAAACAAAATAAACCTGTCTATGAACCCTGGTTTCCTCAGGTGCAGTAAAGCATAATCCTCACTCAGACATCACACTGATCTAACCCTTCCTTGTTTCTTTACATGTTCACAAAAAGCATAAGTGGACAGGCTGTGTAAACGAGCAAGCTATTTATTCACATTGTAGTTTTGTAAGTTAGGAATCCCAGTTTAGCATTATTTGAAAACACAGCCAATATCTAGCATACATGAGCATTCAGGCAACAATTCTATTTTAGCTGGACTCATCAAGACAAATAGGGATTCATAATTAAATCCCTAGTCTGACTCTATTTGTTCATTCAGTTCTATCTTACAAAGCATTGTTGTCACTCAAACCTGAACAATATTCCATCTAGTTGCATGCTAATCTTTTTCTAACATTTACTTCTGTCTGTAGTAAACTATTAAAAAACCGTGTTCTGCACAAGTGGAAAATTCATACCTGTATAATATGGCTAGCACTGAGGCTTACCTCTTTCAGCAGAGAACATGCCAGCATCAAAATGTCTTTTAAAGTGGTATCACGAAATGAGGTAGCTATTTTACGATGCTTTGATGAAGGTCTAGAATAATCAACCTTTAAAAAAAAGCACTTAAGATTACATGTGTCTTCATCTGGGCTTGTTAAAGCACACTTCTTGCAAGTAAACAAGTAGACCCGATTTAGTATGCTTGAATCCAGTTTTGTTTCTAGCATTATTTCTCTATACTCCATATAATGCAATACCAATAATAAACAAGTGAATACTACTTTATGCCTGTGATTCTGTATTTCAAATTACTCTGGGGAAAATGCCCTAGGATAAATAGCACAAGAAAACAGAGTTCAATTGCAGGAAATTATTCAGAAAAGCCAGTCCTCCAGACAGGCAGAATCTTTATACTATAATCCTGAACAAACGCACAGTCTGCAGAACATCTCACATCTATTACCACAACCCTCAACTTTGGAAGGGTCTGTCATTATGCAGGGCAGATCCTTCATTAGAGTTTAGTGCAGCATGTCCATTTTGTAAGGCTACCTTAACAGCTTAATCCTAAAATCACAGATATAGAAGCAAGTCCTACTGATTCAACAGAACATGTTTTGAAGTTAATGTGCACAGGATCTCAGCTTAATCTCAAAACAAAGTTTGGCGCAAAGGCACAGAAAATACTAAGGACAATCAGAGCACACGTGGGCTGCAAAAGCAAGCAGAAGTACTCAAGAATTTCAGAGTATTTTTACAAGTAAAATTCAAATCACTGTTTGACTTTCTCATCTCCCTACAGTGACATCATATGGACCTATATTATGCAAATTTATTTAGTAACAATTTCACACCTTATTTTATATATTTTAAATATCATATATTAGTGGTCAGAACATTATACCACAAAGAGGATAGCCCACATGCTAGCTTTCTCTATGGAAAAGACAACTATCATTTAAGAATATATATGCACTGCACTACTTTTCCAAGTGACCATCACCCAAATTAAAAATGGCCATGCTAAACACTCTATTAACCATGTTGAAAGTAAAAACACCCATGAAAGGAATAGGATGACACCCTTATTGCTATCTGTGAAAACACTTTGGATTATAATTTGAAGGGAAAAACAAAATGATGTGTGCTAAGAGAAACAAACCCCCCTTTCAATCCACTACAACATGTCTCTAAGCTTACACATTATAGGTAAAAGTTAAGCTTTGATAGCATCTGGAAGTAAAAATGTTTGCGGTCCTTGGTGAGATGGATTCTTTAAGCATTAACTGATGGATGTGAGACCACTTCTGCCTCTTCCCCCATACTCCCACTTTTCTGTATCCAGACAGTACTTTCATGGAGAAGCACTGAATTCTGAAACACTCCTATACCCATAGCCAGAGAAGTCTGATTACTTGATTTTGTTGATGATATAAACTGCCTCTAAAATTTATCCTAACAGCTTACACAGTCTCTTTAATAGCTTCCACTCTAGTCAATGTTGAATGGATGGGAAAAGGACTGACCAAATTATTTAAAAGCAAGTGATAGGAAACTCTCAATAAAAAGAGCAGGCTAGACTTCATGGTCCTAAATCAGATTACAAATTAAATCAGATTAGTTTTAGCAACTGAGAGATTAGACTATCCGCTTTGCTCAGGTAGGCAGAGCTACAATCTTTTTCTGAGCTTCAATCCACAGACAACCTTCTCCAACTGAGTGCTGTCCAAGTGTTAGACTACAGCTCCTATCACCCACAGGCAATATGCTCCATGGATATGATGGTGATGATGGGCTTCCAGTCCATCTGGAGGACACCGGGTTGGAAATTCTGTTTCCTTCTGCTTTCAAAGCATTTATACACAGAGTCCAATGCCACTCCTCAGTGTCTAGCCTTCAAGACAGTCCTGACAATTCTCCGAAAGCATTACAAAATAATATTGAGAGGAAAAAAGTTACTTACGAAGTTCATTTCCAGAGTTAGTTCGGAAAGAATTGTCACTCCTATTATACAGTGGTCCACAGTACCCTGTAATACACAGAAACAGAAGCATTCATGTTTCGATGATGAATGTGTAGCTAACTTTGAGGGGTGAAACACAACTTCACAAGGGATTAGTCTGCCAGTTTCCACTACAGAAGTACAAAAAGAAAACATGAATTTCTTTGAGATTCCTCACATCTTTATCCTTCTAAATACCACACGCCAATTCTGGCACCAAAAACCAAGAACACAAAATAAAGTTGATGCTAACAAGATGATGTTAGATGATGCTAACTATACAAATACACTTAAGGCGTAATCCTACACACATTCAAGCTAAAAAGTCTCACAACATGGATGACTGAGGAATGTTAGCATTCACAGGGCTTTTTTCTGTCTAAACATGGTCAGGAGTGTGCTCTTATTGATTTCAACTGGATTTTTATTTGATTTATTTCATGGCAATCCATATCCATCTGCTTAGATCTGATGTTTAGCACAGAGCAACATCTCTATATTAAATGTTAAATTCAGCCCAGAAATGTGGCTTCATTTTCCTTCCCACAGGAAAATAATTCAGTACAAGAAGTCTCTTAAGCAGCAATATTTTGAGTCTGAATCTCTATTATTAATGAATTAACTACTGCAGATTCACACTTCAAACATTTTAATAATGCATGCAAAATCAAATTGCATTAATTAAAATAACTGCAAAAAGGCCACAGTATTCTTTGCATGTTTGTTTTTAATAAAGAAAAGTTTTTATCACATCTTACTAATTATTTTAAAGCACATTAACATTATCAGTTTTCCCCTTAATGTAAAATTAGTAAGAGCATATAATGACATTTAGCAGCAGATGGTTTTACATTTGTGAAAGCAGAATCAGTTTAAATCCCAGCATGAGAATATTCAGTGGCCTTCAGCTACAGATGAGGAACCTGTGGCCTTCACAATTTTGTTAAGACTACAACTCCCAGCATCTCTCACCACTGGCCATGCTGGCTAGGGCTAATGGAAACTGACATTCAACATAATCTGGAAGGCCAAAGGTTTCCCATTGCTACTTTAGGCAGAACACTCTCAGCCTCAGTCTCTTCTTGAATGCCTATAATATGTAGGTATTATTTGTCTGTCTTACAGGCTCTGTAAGCAGAGCTTACCAAGATGCTATATATAACATACATTTTGATGATTATAATGAATAAGGAATTCTATATACTAGTATGTGTTCACTATGCTACATAATTCCTTATCCCTTCTAACATCATCATTCAATACCAATAACTGCTGTCATTGCTGACCTGGCACAAAGGAAGGATGTAGCTCAGTGGTAAAGCTGTCACTTTGCATTTAGAAGGTCTCAACTGAATACTCTGCATTTTCAAGTAAGGTTCCAAAATTTCCTGTTTGAAGTCCTGGAGAGCTGCTGCCAGTCAGACCAGGCTTGCATGGTCATGGAGGGAAAAGTGGCTTATTTTCCTCCCAGCACATGCCAGTTACAAGCCACCTAAATACATGATTACCTTCACTAGTCATGGGTTCTCATGACAACCAATCAGTTTCAGCCAGGCTGAAACCCTTGGCTTGTTCCAGAGTTGCTGCATGGTTTGTGGATCATCTCAGCTAGCATCCTCAATAGGTTCAGATGTCACAATACCCCAAATCCAGTGAGGGAAATTATGTTAATCAGGTGATTCATGAACTGCATTTGCAGAGCAAGAAAATAAGATACAGTCTCTTATTTTTCCCCCTGTGATCACACAAACCTGTTTTCCATGTCAACAATACCAAGCTAGTATTGATCATTAAATCAATGATCAAAGTCAGTGACTCAGTTCACACAACTATAGCATGATTAACAAGCCATAGCAGCTTTTTAATCCCATCATGTGTGCCAGTTGGACTTCTTTGGCTCAACTTGCTAAGTCATCAAACTTAAACGGCATGGCTTGTTTGAGGGGGAAACAACCCTCAGATAACTGCTGAGGATTTCTGCCCACACTTTAAGAAGCCATGCTACCCAGGGTCTGAATGTGGCAAGTGAATGAATGATGTGAATGAGAATAACAAGGGAAATCCAGCCAGCATATACAGCCACCACTGTGATTATGCTCACTGCTTCAGTAAAAGGCAGAATCCTGTATTTCAAAGATTCTAATGTAGGACAGAAATTTTAAGCAAAGATCAACAGCAGTTTCTGGCAACACCTCCTATAAGCAGCTGCCTAATACATCTTGTATGTGTGTATGTGCCAATGATTAAGTGGTACTTTTTGCACAGCTTTTTACCCAGCTGCATACTCATGCAGTAGCTTTTCACCCAGTTGCATGTTGTGAGCAGAGTTGGCTAGAGCCGGGGGTCAGACTAGATGGCCCAGGAGACCCCTTCTGACTTGCTCTGTTTCTGGAAGATGAGTTTCCATACTCATCTTCAACTTCAAAATTCTGAAGCTTTTTTTTTTAAGCTGAAGGTCCTAGTGTGAGGGAGGGGTAGTTTTGTGTTTAGTATCAAATAAACTAGATATTAATCTTTCTGACTGATTTATATAATGCAAGTGTTTTTTCTCTAATTTTTTGTAGTTATGGAGGTACTTTTGTATTATATTGTACTGTTACTACCAAATAAAAATCTAAATTATTTTTAAAACTTCTAGAGCTTATACATGAAAATGCCAAATCTAGGCTCTGCCTAAAATCTTTTTTTAATCTCTCAAGCAAAGCAAATTACTGTACCTCTTTGCATTCTGTCTTAGAATCATGCATACAGTACTTAAAATATATCACTATATCTACTACAGGGTTTTTGTAACCAAAAAAAACACATTCAATTTTTCTTACCTGTAAAAACTTTTTAACATCAGCAATGATGTCTCTAAAGATGAGTTGGTCTTTTTGAACGTCAAACCAGCCCAACTTTGTGATCTTTGCAATTACTTGAACAAGTGCTTGGATCACAAAAGGGGTCAGTTTTGGTCGAGATGCAACATAGTTTAATATATAGTTTCCTGTAACAAAATACCAAAATATAAATAAAATTATTTTATTTTAAAATATATTACGCTTTTCTAAATCTATGAGTTGTGTCCAGTGGTTTGTCTGCAAAGGGAACACCTCTGGTGGAATGATGTACTTCTAAAATCTATGCCAAAAGGCTGAGGGCCTCTCTGAAGTAGATCTTGGGAGATGAATGAGGGAAAAGAGGAAGGGGAAGCCCACTTATGTAATGTTTTAAGACCACCCATGCAATCTTTTATACTATTTATGTGTGTATGTATTTACTTATTTTATTTCTATACTGCCTGTGGCCAAAGAAATCTGGGCAGTTTACAAGAAATATGATGAACTATGAAAAGCAGGGAATGAAATGCAAATTCTCAAGAACTGTGTAGTAATACTTTAGTAAATGGTAAAAATGCATATGCAGCTATTTAAATGCTATTATAAAGATGTAAGAACTCTAAAATCATATTTTCAGACAGTACAATTATTAGTCATTTCCGGTAGGATTTTCCACAGAAATAACATTTCAAGCCACCTACTACAGGCATACATCAAACTGTATGAATATTAATTCCCATCTCTTCTGAAACACAGTACTTCCATACTGCCTGTACAAAAACCATAGCCAAGTGGAATTACCAAGAACACAGGATCAGTTTGCCCAACCCCAATTATAGTTTGTTCTCTGTGTATTATATTGATTCCACATCTATTCCGTTTAGTGTTTCCTTGAGGGATCCTGTAGACAACTGGTTTATCACCATGTAAATTGAGTGCTGCACTGGATGGTCTACTGGCCTGATCTAGCAAGCTGTTCTTATTGCAGCTCCTCATTTATCTGCCAATCATTGTAATGACTCTTGGCAATTCCTGAGGCCTAGCACAGCATGGTGCCCAAGTTACTTGTGTCTGGTATTTTGAAGGTCAGAGAAGATTAAAGTCCCTGAATTAAACAGGAAATGTGCTCAGAAACCTCTTTTATCTTGTCATGAGTATATTTCTCCCTCTTTCCTTTCCTGCAGAATGAAATGGAACACTTTGAAAGTACAGTCCTTTATTTCAGCTAAACAGGTTTTTGTGATACAGGTTGTTTCCTGGGAAGGTTGCTCTTCAATATCATCAATTAAAGTAACATTTCCTTCCATTTGTGGGAGCAGCTCTTTTCCATGTGAAAGGTATATTCCAAACTGAGAAGCCTCCTCTTTCTTCTCCCCAAAGTCCCAACTCCAAGATTTTCAAAGTGCACACTGCTTGTGGGTCAGATGATGGGAACACCAGATATTACTTAATCAGGCCACCTGTTCGGCTTGATACTAGCTCACTGAGTTAATGGATTCATAGCCCTCCTCTTCAGACCCTCCCTGTTCTACAATAGAGCTACCTGAATCTGAGGCAGCTTAATTCTCAGCACCTGTCTGACAAATCCTGTGGTTAACCTTGACTTTTCTCTGACACATTTCTCTGACATCTCCTTTTCCATTGAGGTCACATTCCAAGTCTGAGATTTCTAAGAATAATGTGTTTTGAGAGAAATGGGCACCATCTATACCTATCTCCAGGATTCCTTGCTTTATTTTAATCAGGTCTCTACCAGCTTAGATACAAGTATATGGTAGAGTTGTCACTGCATGTCTCAATTTAAGCATGGAAGTGAAACATATTTTTTAAGAGACAAGTTCTGGGCTAAGCCAAATGGTGAGCAACATGTATCTCAACTATGTCCACTTTGAGTTTATTACTGAAATTGAAGAAACTGCACAGAAGTCTACAAACAAATGCACTGTGTGTTTCACAAAGGAACTTTGCATGACTTAAAGAGAAACTTGAATTACAAAAAGAGCCAGTTTTAAATCAAGATGCTTCACAGCTTTTTCCTAAATAGCTCAAATTAAATCAAAACTATTTTAGGCTTGCGGTTAATTGAGCAGCTAAAGCCTAATGCTGAGTTTATACTCTTTTCGGCACCAGGTCAAAGCCTTTTTATTTAATCATTATTTTAAAAATTAGTATTTTAATATTTAACAGTCACTTTTAATTTAATTTATTTTTATTGGTTATATGTTATTTATTATATTGTTATAAACTGTTTTATTGTACTTTGAGTTTAATGACTATAAGCCACCGTGAGATACTATGCATAAGGGACAGCATATAAAAGTTTTATATAAATTAATAATGCAAGATCATTTCTATCAATCTGAAAATGCACTTTTCACAACATGCATTATGCTCAGATACAGATGCCCAAGCACAAAATACACATCCACCACATTACTTATGAAGACATAGATACCCTTTCTCACCCTTGTATCAATAACCAAATACAAAGTTTCTTATGAAAAGCACAGGAAAAGCCATGCTGGATCAGGCCAGAAGCAAATCTAATCCAGCATTCTGTTTAAATAGTGGCCTACCAGATGTTCATGGGGAGCCCACATGTTGATGCCCCCTTTAGCTGGCATGCAGAGACTGAAACTATCACAATCATGACTAGCAGTCATTATCCTCTTAAACCCCCATGAAGCAATGCAAACTAATTTTTGTAACTTTGTAAGAAAACAGAAAATACCTGCTACTATCTTTATTTGACAAAATATATTTAATGAAGCTATACTTGAAAGGATATTCATTCTGAGTTAAATTCTACTGAAATCAATGCAACACTTCCAAATAAATAGTAGGAAAACACATACAACTCCCCATTGTGAAAGTATGTTGCATGTTAGTATAAAGACAGATATGTGTAGTATAAGCACCAATCATTCAGAATGTGCCTATGTTCCCAATTTCTTAAATACTCTCCTTTGTGCTCATGGAGAAAACAAGATATATGTGAAGAGATGTTCTTTGTTGCTCTATAATGTAAAGAACAGATTGAAATTCCAGGTCATAGCTCAATCTGATCGCTGATATGGCGATTGAAAATATTAGTATAAGGAAGTTAGAAATAATAAATTAAGATTCTAATATTGCTACCATTATGACTAGCCTTTTTTACTACTGGACTTATTCCAATATTTTAACTATTGGACTTATTCCAAAGACTTATTCCAAAATTGTAGGTAACAAAAAGCGATAGCAATATTGAAAGGAAAAAACAACACTTACTGATGTCCATTCTTTGCTGAATAGGTAAAGGTGTTGTTTTGCACACAAGTTTAGAGAGGCATGTTGCTGCTAGAAGCTGTGCATAGGATGTCTAGAGAAAAATACATACAATTCAAATGTCAGTAATAATTATATTTTTTAAAAATCCTTAGATATCCTCTAAAAGGATAATCTTGTAATAAGAAAAGTTCTTTGCGGTTACAATATTTAGGGGGCAGCCTTGCAGGTACCCAAGGTTGCAGAAGGCAAGGCATGGCAAGGCACTTGTTATGTATACGGAAGAGATACCATAAATTACTCTGCAAGGACACAGGAGATAGCTGCTATGAGGGGCAAGTGGCCCACACCTGGAGTCCATCGTGGGTCATCACCTCACAGGTCAACTGGCCTGGGCTGGGGAAGAATAAAGCCTGGAGCCTGGAAAGGCTTGGCATTCCATTCCAAGGGGAGGTTCTGCTTCTGCTGCCATACTCAGAATGCTGTGCTACCTTGTTTCCTGTGCCTGAGGCTGATATAGTATTTGCGTGTGTAGCTGAGACTAGGCTGGGCTTTGTTATTTTATCTCCAATGGGGCCAATAAGGCCCAGGAATTGGGGGTCTTGTGTTCTCTCCAAATCCCTTCCCCTTTTCCCCTTTTAGCTGTTTTAGTTCCCTCCACCCCCATATTTTACACTCTTAATAAAGTTATATTTTCTCCCAACGCTTGCATTTGTTGTGCTGAATCCAGTGTCTGGTTCAGGGTTCTGGGACCAAGGAATTACTAAGCAGCAGGATTTTTAGCATAGTTAGCTGCAGGAGTGGGGAATCCTGGTCAGCTTTCCACTACAAACACTAGAAAGCACTTAAGATTCACTGTGGTATAGTGGTTAGAATACTGGACTGGACTGGGGAACCACAGTTCTATTCCACACTTGGCCATGAAGCTCACCTGTGAGTCATCAGTCCCTTACTCAGCCTAGCCTACTATACATGATTGTTGTGAGGATGAAGATTGTGGAAGCTGCTTTTAAATGCCAGATTGGTGCAGAATAAAACCTCCTTTGTCCACAATTTAATAGTGGATGAGGCAGTCAATATGGCATCTAAAACCAAGACCTAGGTGAGTAAATAGGGAAGTCTCTCCCAGAAGTGCTCACCAGGGTACATGATTCAGTATCAGGGTAGACATAAGGGCCAGGGAAGAGGCATTCTCATGCTCTATAAGAATTCAATTTCTCTCTTCAGGTGCCCTGTCCATCCAACAACTAATTTGGAGTGTCTGCACCTTGTGTTGAGCTCAGTGAGACAGACTGGGAATTCTGCTGGTGTCCCACCTTCCCTGCAGCCCATCCATCTCCCTACCTGAGCAGACGGAGGTGGACTCAGATATGATGTTGGAATCCCCCAGGCTGTTGGTTCTTTGGGACTTCAACATTCAGGATGCAACTGAGGACCTCCCATTTGCAGCAGCCTAGAATTTCATGGCTGCCATGGCAACCATGGGACTGTCCCAACATGTCACTGGCCTGATATATGCGGCAGGGCATACTCTAGATTTCATTTTCTTGGTTGGATAGGAGGATGGTGCTTTGAGCACAGGGGATTTCAAGTCAGTCCCTTTGTCATGATCATATCATCTAAGATTTAGACTAACAGTGGCTTTTTGCTTCCGCAAGGGTGGGAGACCTATTAAGATGGCCCACCCTTGTAGCTAATGGATCCAGATGGTTTCCAGAGGGCTTTGGGAGATTTTCCGGCTGACGTGGCTAGTGTTCTTGTTGAAGCCCTGGTCATACTGTGGAATGCTGAAATAACCTGGGTAATTGACATTATCATTCCTAAGCACCCTCTCATGTGGAGCTCATACATCTCCGTAGTACACGCTGGAGCTGAAAATGATGAAACAACTTAGACAACAGCTTGAGTGCAGATGGAAGAAAACTTTCAGTGAATGCAACAGACACTTGGTATGTGTCTACAAGTGAGTATATTTTGAGGCAGTGAGGGTGGCAAAAAAGCAATACTTCACTGCTTCTATCCAATCTTTTCTTTGTCACCCAGTAGAACTTTTCAAGGTTGACCGGGATTTATCACATTCTGGACTCATCTTGGAACCTTCTAAGGCTGCTGCAGTTCATTCACTGGAAATTTCCAGGAAAAAAAATCTTGCATCCACTGGGATAAGCACAGCCTGATCCAGTTTTATTGGATGAGTTTCAGTTGGTACAGCTTGAGGATGTGGACAAGGTGCTTGGAAAGATTTGTGCAACCACCTCTGTACCAGATCTTTGTCCCTCCCTAGCTTATAAAAGCATGCTAGGAGAAAACAACTCACTGGGGCAGGGAGGTGAGTAATACTCCTTGCAAGAGGGAGTGGTTCCATGCTGCCTTAAAGAGGTGATGGGAAGGCCACTTCTGAAAAGGTCCTCCTTTGACCCATGAAAATCTGAATAAATTTAGGCCACTGGCAAACATATCTTTCCTGGGCAAGATTTCTAGATAGGGTGTTTGCCAAACAACTCCAGGCACTCTTGGATTAGATTGATTACCTGTACACATTTTAGTTGGGGTTCAGGTTATGGCACACAGCCTTGGTCACCCTGTGACCAAGGGAATCACCGGGGGTGGGGGAAAATCACCCTGCTGGTACTCTCAGTAGCTTCTGACATCATCAACCATAGTATCCTTCAGGGACGACTGTCTGAGTTGGGAGTGGAGGGGACTTTGTATGTCAATGGTTCTGCTCCTACTTGGAGGGCTGTCTCCACAAGGTAGTGCTTGGGGAATATTCTTTGACCCCATGGATTCTCCAGCATTGAGTTCCTTAGAGGTATGTTCTATGATCCCCCATGTGATTTAACACGAACCCACTGAGTCAAATCATCAGGAGTTTGGGTTGGGGGGTGTTGCCATCAGTATGCTGATGACACACTGCTCTATCCCTCCTTTTCATCATCAGGAGGTGCATTTGTGGATGCGCTAAACTAGTATATGGTTACAACGAGGGCTAACAAACTGAAACACAATCCAGATAAAATTGAGATGCTGTTGGTGGCTGGTTCTTCTGACCAGATGGAGGGAATCCAGTCTCCTCTAGATGGAGCTGCACTCCCTCTGAAGAAGCAGGTTCATAGCTTGGGGTACTTCTTGAGCCATCTCTGTACATTGACGCTCAGGTGGCATCAATAGTTTGGAATGCCTTCTACCAACTTCAGTTTGTGGCCCAACTATGCCCCTATCTGAACAGGGATAGCCTGGCTTCAGTAGGCTATGTTCTGGTAATCTCTAAACTGGATTATTACATGCACTCTATGTGGGGCTTCCCTTGAAGATAGTTCTGCGACTGCAGCTCATTCAGAATGCAGCAACCAGATTAATAAGTGGGATCCGCAGGTCCGAACATATAAGACCAGTTCTTGTATTGGCTGCCTATGTGCTTCTGGTCCCAATTCAAGGTACTGTTTTTAACCTACAAAGCCTTACATGGCTTAGTACCACAATACCTATGAAAGTGCCTCTCCAAACCACAATCTACTTGGACGCTATGCTCAACCTCTGGGACTTTCCTCCAAATGCCAATTCCAAGGTACAGAGAGAGGGTGGTAACAAGGGGAAGAATTTTCTCCATGGTGGCTCCCCATCTGTGGCATAACCTCCCCACTGCATCCCAGCTGGCACCAAATCTGTCATCTTTTTGGCAACACGTTATGACAGCCCTCTTTTTGAAGGCTTTTAAAGACTTGCTTGGCCACCCAGGGGCTTGAGGGGACTCACCAGATGTTTTCCACTGTCTCTCTCTTTTTCTTCCTCACCCCTCCCCATTACACCTTGTTATTGTCTGTTTTTATTATCTGTTTTAAACATTTTACTGTTTTCCTGATCTTATTATATATTTACTGCATTTTTAAAATCTGTTTTTATGGACTGTATAAACCACCCAGATAGCTTCAGGTGTGAGGCAGTTAAAGACAGACAGACAGACAGACAGACGGACAGACAGACAAGGAGGATCATACGTATTGCTTGAGCTTCTTGGAAGAAAAAGCAGCGTATATATGTAACTAATATATATGCAATTGCATCTAGTTGCAGTTGCTTCACAGATTGTAAAAACTTTTTTGTCTCAATTCCAAAATGAAAGCAGGCATCAAAACAATCCTCTGTATATGGAATCTTTTAAGACTGAGAAAGCAGAAATGTGAAGGAAGATGCCACAGAACTCCAAGCTTAGTGAAACATTGGTTTGGACCCATGTTCATTCATTCTGCATTATGGCGAAGAATATGCTGTTTTGTCATATCTCTTGGTAACAGCAACACTACCTTCAGATCAGATAGGCAACTTGTGGGCCTTCAGATGTCTTGGTCTGCAACTCTCATCTTCGCTAGCCGGCCAGTGGTGAAGATTCAGGGGTTGTGTGTCAAAATGTCTGGAGGGCCTCAAGTTGTCCAACGCTGCTTTAAAACCTATTGCAGCCTTCATACTGCAGAAGTATGGCTCTTCCCACAAGAAGCTCTGATGCACATCATGGAAGCATGAACTTCACAGAGGCTTCTGGTACTCACATACCCAAAGTTCTTATATGCCCAGGAGAGATGGGGAGCATAGGCACCACAGATGTCAATACTGAGCACTAGAGCACAGAAGTCTCTGGCCAAGTCTTAACCCAGTCCTTTTCCCAAATTTTAATGCCTTCATTGCTGGACTAACTGAATGTCCAAAAAATGTCTGAAATGGGCTTAGTTTCACCATACCCAGAGAATCAAGATGCAAATCCATATGCTGAAGACTGAAAATAATTCCATCAAACAACCAACACAGTAAAGGGGACAAAGTTCCATAGATGCATGAGGGTCTTCCCATATCCAGAAGCAAGAAGAGAAATTCTCAGTTTTAACACAGATTTAACCTCCTGGATCACAGAACTCAGTAATATACTTCATATCCTGAATGATTTTATCCATTTATCCAACTCACATCTTTTTTCACTTGTGAGATACTAAAACGTTACCATGTAAAGTAGTAAAGAGATTTAACCTGTCAGGTATACACAAAGATGACACATTTGAGTTGTTCTCCTAAAGTAGCAATGCTTGTGTTAGCTTTACCAGAATTGGTTTGTTTTTCATGTGTCATTTGAAAACCTGAGAGCAAAACAAGCCATACAGTCAGAAGAAAAAAGATCTTGCCCTATGATTATGCTGAATCTATTAGGATTATTTCCAGTCTAAGAAAATTCACTGTCTATCATTACAATCTTGAGAGCGATTTATGAAAAACAATGTAGAGTAAAGGAGAAAACTGTCAAATCTGTTTTGATAATGAATCCAGTCCTGGAAACTGGTATGTGAACAGATATAATTAATGCATATTTAGATTATGAAGTTTCAAGCACTTACTGTTCCTTGTTCCAGTAAAAGTTGGCATTGGCTGAGACATTCAGGACTGTTAATAAGCTCCAAAAGCACCTTTTCTGCTTGTATTCGCTGTGCTAAATCTGTCCCCTCATAAAGCTGTTTGCAAAGGACTTCTAACTCTGCCAAGCTCTGTTGGGGCAAAAAAAATTAAAACAGAATCAGACATATATCCCTTCCCTAATTCCTCATACTTCTACTTAAGTCAAGCACTGATGCACAGCAGAAAGAAAAGCAGTTCACGTCTGAATTGATGAAATATTTGTAAGCTATTAGAGAAGGACCAGAAACTGTTTACCCAATTCCTCCCAACATACCTCATTATAATTAATTTCATTTCTATACCACCTCACAGATGAAGCACTCTGTGCAGTTTGCAAAAAAGTGAACGAAACAATAAAATGCAATTATCATAAATAAAAAGCATTAAAATAAATCTAAAATAGCTATACCATACAGTAAAACTGACCCTGTAAAGGAAAATTAAAAATCACCTGGGAAGGGTAATTCGCTCAAACCCCTGAGTAGCTGAAAACATCTTTAAAGACACTGGCCTAAAGGGTTATCTTAACCTGGCACTGAAAAAATGACAAGGTTGACACTAGAGGGGCCACACTAGGGAGGTTATTCCACAGGTGGAGGGCCATTATAGAAAAAGCCCTCTTCCTTTTTGTTTTTCGCCTCTGAGACTCCCTTGGAGGTGGCACTCAAAGGAAGGCAGCAGAGGTTGAGTGTAGTGTCTGAGTAGATCATGTTTGAGAGAGGAGCTCCAACAGCTATTGTGGTCCCAACCTGTGTAAGGCTTTATACGTTAAAACCAGCACCTTGGACTGGGTCCAGAAGCATACAAGCAGCCAATGCAAGTGGGCAAGAACCAATGTTATATGTTCAGACCCACAGGTTCCAGTTATTGTTCTGGCTGCTGCATTCTGCACAAGTAGCAGTTTATGAACCATCTCCAAGGGCAGCCTCACATAGAGTGCCCCAGTTAATAAATTCATTCATTCATCACACAGAAGAAATACCCCAACACTGAACTGAACTTGTACCAAAAAACACTATTTGTCAGCTCCAAAACAGCTGTGCTATGCTCCAGCAATCACAATCTAAAACAATGCATTTTTAGCTAAGAAAACAGGAAAGCTGGCAAAGTTAAGAGTAAGAATAAACATTTTCAGTGTCGTGTTTGATCTTTGCCATTTACTTCATATTTGCCAGGCAAGAATGAAAATTTCACTTTCACTTTTCCTCTTGTTTAAATCAAGCTATCATTGTTAGCTAGCTTGGAAAGAACCACAGGATACTTTTTACCCGCATTCCTGCATTAAGCTTGATTCATTCCTCCCCTAGCTACACAGGTTAACAATAAGAATAGAAGCAAAAATAAATTTTGTCCACACAATGACTACCTCCCCATTAATCAGTAAGGATTACTGGGTCACTCTGGGGCATTAAGGTACAATGAATGAAATGGATGTAATCTGGTTAAATACACTTCAAATGATCTGTAAAGTGTTTGCTGAGCTGCTCCTAACCAAATACTAAGTATCTTTTATTTCCTTTTCTGAACATAGTGCTTGTGGAGGCACAGTTATTAACTGAGTATTAGCAGGACAATTATCATTATCAGAATTTAATTATCATAACAGATAAAAATTCAAGGTACTTATCGCTCTTCCAATCCCTATTCTCATTTCAACATACCCTAGTAGAACTGTGTGATTAGTTTAGCTGCCTTGAGGCAGCTAAACTAGGCCTATCCTTCTGGGATTTGCTTATCAGCGAATACTAACCATTATAACTAAATGGAACCTCCTGTGTTGAGACAACTACTTCTATGGACTTCATGCCCTGAATGAGAACTTGGAGAGGCACCTGGCTGGCTAGATGGACCCTATGGTCTGATTCACCATGTCTATCTTTATGTTCTTTTAAGCAGAAGGTGAAAAAGAAAATTCTTCTTTAATAACCTATGTGAATATATTAACTGAAATACGCTTACTGAATATGTTACATATTTTACTTGTGTAATCACCATTATATTAAAAAACTGTGTAGGGCCCCAGTAGGACTACCTCCTTCCATATGAATGGCATATAATTGGAGCATCATTTGAGGCCCTGTTTCATGTCCCACTACCTAGAGAGGCTAAGTTGGTGGGCACCCAAGAAGAGGGTCTTTTTGGTAGCAGAAAACTGATGATGAAACTCAAAAAGAGTGCTTGGTTCCATCAGGCTCTGAATGCCGTATAATGTTTTATCACTCTTTAGTTTCAACGTTAAACTAAATGTCACTCTTATTAGTGCATGAATTTTTGCCTTCTACAGCTTCTACACATTGCCTCACTCTCTGGGTAAACAGAGAGTACCCTTTGTAAATCTATTAAATAGCTAACACAAATATTATTCAAAAAACGCGTAATCAATCAAAAGGGTTTTTCACTAAATCCCTTCCTATATCCTGCAAACCTAGATAGGCATCAACTTTATGTCCCTGCTGTAACGCCTTACTGTTTTTACCAGCACACTGGCACTGCAAAAATGAACTTAATTTGGATCAGAATCCAGTAGGGGGAAAATAATGAGGGTGCTTTTCAATTCAGCCATTCCCAAAATAACATACAAAATAATTCATAATATTTACCATATATATGTGGCAGCATAAAAACATGTTAAGTGCTGCTCTTCTAGGAAAATAAAGAGTGGAGATCCAGCAGGGTTTCCTTTGGTAGTTCCATAAAGCACAACTTACAATTGAGAAGGAAGTCTATACAGTCTCCCACAGCAGTAGACCCCAGTATCACTGTACACAGCTCAGTACTCAGAGGTGAGGTTACACAGGAAAGAACTTCTGCCAAATATCACATATATCAACTGTTTAAGAGATGTAGGAGAAAATCCAATCATAAGCCTCCAAACCTGAAGAATTACAGTCATCCTATGCACAGTGGGAGAAGCAATGGAAGTGCTCTTTGTCTCCCTGTCCCTCCCATCCTGCAACCAGATGAACCACTTTGGATGGGGAGGGAAGGAAGCTGGCACAGAACCCTTGCTGCTGTGGGTTCCTCCCACTTCCCTCAGAACCACCTTCGCCCCTTCTCCAAGGTCACTCATACAACCTCAGGGAAGCAGCCAGCAAGGCCCTTTTCATATCTGTTGGGGGAGAGGGAAATCTAAGCAGCCACAAAGTACTCTGTTAAAGGTTAAAACAACTAAGATTGGTTTGAACACAAAGTGGAAGCTAGCAGAACTTTGCTGCACATTATGTGCTCTGTAAGTATGAATTCTGAAGCTTCATCTGGTCCAGAAGATAGTGGCTCGCATTAATATGGGCCACTACCTTCTGGACCAGATGGAAGTTTCAGAATTGTTTTTCAAGAGCAGTTCCATATAGATTACTTTACAGAAGCCTAACCAACGATTTATTTATTTACTTTCTATAATGCCCAACAGCCAAAGTTCTCTGGGTGGCTCACAAAAGCATATTTAAAAACAATATAAAATATACCCATTAAAACATCATAAAAGTTAGCAATACAAAATTTAAAACCAAATTAAAAAGGGAAAAAAATCGTGTGTTAAAAAGACCCAATTAAATTCTGTCAAACAACCAGCATAACCCAGTTACAAATGAAATGCTCTGCAGTAGAGGACAGTTGTTACCTGGTGCCAAAAAAACAGTAAAGTTGGTGCCAGGCAGGCTGCAGTGGGGAGTATGTACCACAACGCGGGGAGGGGGGGACCACTTGAAAACATTCTTCTCCTTGTTGCCACCATCCAAGCCTCCCTTGGAGGTGGCAATTGGAGTAAGTCCCCAGAAACTGATAGTAGTATTCAGGTAGATAGAGGTCAGGAAAGATGTTCCATAAGGTAGCATGGTCCCAAGCCATGTAGGTCAAACCTAGCATCCTGAACTGAGCTTATAGACAGCCAGTGCAAGTGGGCCAGCTTTAGTGTTATATGATCACACCATCAAATCCCTGTTATCAATCTGGCAGCTGCATTTTGCATAAGCTGCAGCTTCTGAACAATCTTCAAGGGTAGCCCCATATACAGTGCATCATAGTAGTTCAGTTCAGTTCAGTTCAGTTCAGTTCAGTTCAGTTTAGAGATTACCAGAGCATAGGGCACTGATAGCAGGCTACCTCTGTCCAGATAGGGCTAAGCTACCAGCCAAAGCTAGTAGAAGGCACTCTGAGACACTGAAACCATGTGAGCCTCAAGTGACAAAGATGGATCAAGAAGCATTCCCAAGCTACGAACCTGCTCCTTCAAGGAGAGTGCAACCCCATCTAGAAGAGGCTGGATTTCCTCCATCAAGTGAGAAGAACCACCCACCAACAGCATCTCAGTTTGTTAGCCTTCAACCAGCCCATTGTCATGGCCAAGCACAGAATTGGCACAACTATAGCCTCACCTGCTGAAGGCAAAAAGGAGAGACAGATGACAGTGCTCTCCAAAACTCCGGATGACCTCACCCAGTAGTTTCATGGAGATGTTAAATAACATGGAGGACAAAACTGACCCCTGAGGAACACCATACTGGAGGATCCAAGAGGCAAGGCAATATTCCCCAAATCATGGCAAGTTCTACACTCACACAATACTTGTCATCTTGAATGGGGTGCAGCTGACATACTGTCCAAAAGTGAAGGAATGCCTCTTTCTTGGCCAACTGAATACCCTAGATTGACACCATAACCATGAGCATTCCCAAGATGCAAACCGTGCATTTAAGAGAAGTGCAATTCTGTCCAAGACAAACGGATCAACTGCTTCCTGGGTTCCAGAAGTGACTCCCATCTTATAAGAAATGAGTTTCAGTTTATTTCACATTAATCGCTCATGACCCATAACTCCCTGGTATACCAACATAAAATATAGGTTCTGAGATATGGGATAAGATACCCTAAGATACTGTTAGGCCAACCATTTATGCAAATCATTTTTTATTCAATGCTAGTAGATATTGACCCATCTATAACAAATGAGCCTTCATCAGCTACCAACACTTATCTCCTATCTCCTTCATACCCAATGTATAAAATCAGACTGAGAGTGTGCCCTGCCATGTGCGGCAGGCTAATGGTGGGGTGAAGCTGCTTGTAAAATTATATGGGCGAGAGGATGCCA